GGGGGGGGGATAACACAAAAGCCCCAAACGGTCGTTTTGTCCGTTTCTGCACCCGCCGCCGATACCGCCCGCCCGCTTGGCTGGAAAGAGTATTTCTTTGGGAAATGGATTGGGGGGATTTTTTTTTTTTTTTCCTCTCTCCTTCTCCTCCTCCTTTCCCTGCCGTGGAAGGAGGAAATGGATGATGGGCCCGTAGGTACGGCGGCGGTGACATTCATGGGCGCCAAAGCCTTTAAGGCGGCTGGTGCTCCTGGAGAAGCCTTGGAGGATTTTTCCAGGCGCCCGTGGATCGGGTGTGAGCACCTTTTGTAAGCCCTTTTTTTTTTCTTCTTTTTTTCCCTTTCTTTTTTTCCTTTTTTTTTTTTTCTTCTTTTTTTTTCTTTCTGAGAGGCTGGACTGAGAAGTGGCTCTTTAATACGAATCAGACTCTGGTAAAATATTCAACGAAGGAGAAGAAGGCAATAATAAATACGTGTGAGCCTATGGCATGCTTATTTCAAGCTCAATGTGCTTTTTCCAGTGTCCTGATAGGATTTTTTTTTTTTTTTTTCCCTTCCCCCCCACCTTGGGAGCAAGGCCTAGGCTTTATTCTGCACAGGCGTGTTGGGTATTGAGCAAGGGTGCAGTGTGTGCCCATCCTTCCTATTCTAGCCAGTGGGATGGGCTGTTCTGGTGCGAATCGGAAATATATGTGTTAAATCCAGACAGAGGTACAGGGTGAATGGAAGAAAGGCCCTGTTCTGATTCAAGGTTAGCTACGTGCCTGCAATCCAGAATTTGTTGACTCCTCATTTGAATACGGTCAACCTGCAAGAACAATTCGGTTGTTAATATGATAAGAGCAGAGCTCTTTAAAGCGTTTTCTTTCCTGTTCCTGATAGAAAGGGAGGGTAGGTCGTTTTGCGGATCGGCGCTGCCATTGAATGGGAATGGATCCCTGCTGCTGCCTGCCTATAGCCACACCTGGCAGCGCCCTGCGCCTGTGTGTGCGAGTGCAGCCCATTGCCCGGAGCTCTGGGAGCCACCGGCCGCCTCGGGGCCCCTGGTGCTGCCCTGGCTTCCACCCGTGAAGCCCGGCAGAGAGCCCGGGGTTCGGGGGCTCGTGCTCCGCCGCACACCCGCATGATCGGGGGGACGTGGAGGGCGCCTGAGCCCTGCTAGCAGCGTGGGGGGGTGTGTTTGATCGGAGCCAGCACTAGCGTGTACTGAGGCGCTTGGATTATATGGGGGAAAAACTGAATTTGACTCCATTTTAATTTGTGGATGTGCTTTATGAGTGTGTGGAATAGGAAGCGGGTCTTGGTGGATCAGTATTTCTGCAGGTGGCTCTGTCTAAATCAAGGCAGACCTAGAGCTGTCATGCTCAGAAACTGTATTTGTCTTATTCGAGCTTTAAGGCTTGTTCCTTGAAAGGTCAGTGATGCTCTTTTCCGTGTATTTGAGGTCAGAGCCGAGGCAGGTGCTTGCCTATGGAGAGGGCGCTAACCGATGCAGACTAACAAGTTTGCAAATCCGGGTCGATGCCGAGCGTCTAACACGGTGGCAGAAACAAAGGCTGTAGCATAAAGCGCACGCACTGGTGATAACCCCCACAACCGCTCCAGTCATGTGCCCCGCTCCTTCTGCTGCCTGGAAAAAAATGCCAGAACAAAGCGAGGCAACCGCAGGCAAGGGCTGTGCGGGAAACGCGGGCGACGTTTTCAGTCCTTCTGCCCAAGGAAGGGTCTCCAGAAAGTTGTTGCTGTTTTTTAATAATGCTTTGTAAGAGCGACCGTGCTGCTAGGTGCCAAGAAGGGTGGTGATATTCCAGCTCTCAGGAGTTCTGGTAGCATCTTGGGGTATGATGTAGCAAGTTGTCTGTTAGTGATCTGAATGCTTGGGGAAAAAAGGGAAAAAAAAAAAAAAAAAAGTGTGGTCAACAGGGAGTTTCTTGGCTTTTGCCTTTTGGTATTTGCTTGTAGATAGATACCTTAATGACATTTTGAGCCCTTTTGGGTGAAAGCTGCGGCTAAAGACTATTGCGAAGCAGGTGAAAATCGATGGCTCGGTGTTTTCCAAGTCCTGCAGGCAGCTTTAGGGCCTATGCCGTGGTGCACGTGGGTCTTCTCCAAGATGCCAAGGAGTGGCCAGTCGGCTTGCTCCATTGCTTGTACTTGTGGGCATGGAGAAGCTGTGCAATGAAATGGCCAGATCTGTCACGCTGTGGTATTTGCACAGCTATTGCTGCTCCTGAGGAAGGGCTCAAAGGGTTGTGAGGAGGAGCTGGTGAAGGAGTGGGAGGGCTCTTGCCCACTCCTGTTATCTGGGAGAGGCTTTGGAGAAGAGCACTGCTAGCTTCTGTGGTCCATGGCACATGTGGGAGAAAGGGCAAGCAGGGTTTTCATCATTTCCTTGAGTCATTGATTAGACTTTGTTCTCCAAGACTATGAGAAACCTTGAACCTTGAAGAGAAAGGACAGGAGATTTTAGCAGCATCACCTTTTCTGGCCCTCGGGAAAGATGACTTCTTGGACATGCTGCTCTTATTGCTCTATCATAGGATTTGCAAGGATTTTTAATATCTTTCGAGAATGTGATGTAGCCTTTTCGCATATTTCAAGCCATGCCTGCATCAGGAGCGTCTTCTGAGCTCTAATTTCTATGTATTTTATTTTCTCCCTTTCATATATGTGGTTTTGAAATTATTGCATCATTTTTGTTGCATTTCCATATGGATTTCTCTATTGGAAGTCGTTCTCAAGTGGCTTGCTCTGGGTGCAGGCCTGTTACTGGGTTTATTGCCTTCCCTGCAACAGAGAGACGTGCAGTTATGGTGAGCCTGTTCCTAAGCTGCTGGGAAATGCGTCGTGTAACAAAGGTCTCAGTTGCAGGAGTTCAACTGTAACCTTAATGTGGAATAGTTCAAGGAATCAGCTGGAATTGTAACTTTCCAAAGAGATGTTGAATATCTAAATCACCATCTTCCAGTTTTCTGCTTGCTGTCATAATCTGTATGAGCTTAAAGCAGCCTTTTGTTCTTCACCTGGTTGGTCTTTCCTTGCCTCCAGATGTGCATTGTTTCCCGAATGGGATGAAATAAAGAGTAGTCATGCAACAAATGACCAAAAATATCTCTATAAAAATAGAAGTCTTTAAGATTGCAATTTGGGAATTTTAATGACTCTAGACCTTTCTTATTTATTTTAATTCTTTTCTCTCTGAGATTTTGGAAAAATGTTTAAGGTAGCAGCAGTTCCTTGCAGGCAGCAGTCCTTATTG